TACAATGTTACTAGAAGAATTCCAAAGATTAATCCAAGAGCTGAACCACATCGGTTCAAAGCAGGGTAGAAAATAAGGCTGAAGACGACGCAGGTCGAATGCTTAACAACTACGTGACCTCATTGAAGTCAACGGACTTCAGCTAGGAGAAATGCAAAACCAGGTTTTTCTGGGGCAGGTCATGTCTGCAATGGAGAACCGACTGCGAAATCAACAGAAGAGCAAAACTGGCTTAAAGCAATTTTGGAAGACAGAAAATATTTCTTTCCGAGAAACTGTTCTTGTGCTTGAAACCGAAGGTTTTTGATCAGTGTGTATTCTCATTTGTGCTAACCTATGGGTACGAAACAGATCGGGAACCTAAAAGCTATTTTTAGCCTTGATTGCGCAGTGCAACTTTAAAACATGTATGTTTCTAATAACAAAAGAAAACAGAAAACAAGCGAACAGTTGTCCAAGTGAACATGTTAGTGGCAGTGATTAGGATAAATTGCCAGAAGAATCGCCATCGCTTCAACAGAGAGACAGCAAATGTGTTGAAACAGTAAACGGCTCAGTGGAAAAGCTGCAAATCGATGGTGAGATGAGCTGATAAATTTCGTTGGATCAAGATGGGTAAAAATGGCAGAAGAATGATATATCTGGCGAAGTCTTGGGGTGGCCTTCATGCATCTGTAGATCGACATAAGCTGATGATGGTCTGCCAGAAGTTGAGTAGGGGCGAGCAGCAGCTCGCGTCTAGATTTTCTCTTTCGCATATATTAGTATGTAAAGTAATATATGAATAAATTTATAATGACCTCAAGGCATCCTTCGCTTTCATTCGTTTTTTGTAATAAACGGGAAAAAATTCTTCAGACACTTTTGACTGCTCTTCCTGGCAGATTGCAGCCCGTATATTGGTGCATCTTTTCATTACGACGTATATGCCAGTCTGTATAAAATATGGAGTGTGAGTATATGATATGAAGACCGGTAGATGAAATCTGTAAAGATTTTGTACTTTATTAGGTCTCCTGATCTTAATGCTCGTGCCCTAGGAAGATGTGTAGACTGTAATATTAACTACGTTTACGCGTAGTATGCTCTTCACAGTCAAGCTCTGGTGTCCTCGTTCTGATAATGAATAATGAACATAGTACAGGGTCCCATAACGAAACAAAATATTATGGAATACATACGCTTGTGTCTCCTTTCATGAACTCTAAAGCAGTTGGCTAAGATGCTTTTAGCCGAAGTTGGTGGAACTTTGGCTTTGTAAGTAGCTCTGCTTAAGAGAAGAAATGCATAATACAAACTGGGATGAAAAAATTCTGGACCCGAATCCGTATGAAACCCAAAATGGCATAGTAAAACGGTGAGCTTTTGATGAGCTGTTCACCCTTTGATCATTGTATGATCACCCATGGACAAGATTTACCAATGGTAGGGACGAGGTTTCATGATCGATACCCGGAAATGGAGAACGTAACCTCCTTCCTGCCACTAAAATGTTCGAGATCGAATATATCCAGGGTTCAGGCCGTGCGCAAACTTCTACGTTTTAAGGAGTCGCCCATCTCTATCAGTCGCAATTGTCACGTCGTTGATGTCAGCAAAACAAGTGTTGTTTATATTCAGGTATTTGGAGAACGTCAGGACGATCTCACAAAGCTTTCGAAGCCTTTGGAAATCACCTGCTTTCGGACGTCGATTTGGGATGAAACGCTATACAAGGTTCGTTTGTAATTTTTGATTCTAATTTGCATCGATTTTACAATTACATTATACAAATCAATATTCTTGAGCGCATCTCTAAGCAGGTTGTGGAAAGTAGTTGATTGGCAGATGAGCTCTGTCATATATATCTGTTGTTCATGTTACTGTTGATGCATGTACCTATTGTGTATGTAAATTGTTGCCCTTGGGATTGAGAAGAATAATGAAGGAAACAGAAGTGTAGAACCACCAGAATATAAATCTCATGATATGTGATGTTCAAGAAAAGAGGTGGAAAGACGGAAATGTCATTAAATTTCAGAACAGAAGTCGTTGTTGACAGACTGTGAGCACCGTGAATATGGCAGTCTTCAAAATCATCGTCTTCGTCTCTATCCTTATAATCCGGTGCAGCTACCACCACGACCAGAAAGGAATGGTTGGCTTTGAAGAAGAATGAACACTGAATGAGCTCCTTCGTCTTGACAGACAGTCAGTAGGATACGGGTACAGAATGAATGGTTCAACGATAGAAAGGTCGATATGCTGGACATCTTTGGATGATCTTTGCCATGAAAGTTGCGATATCTTTGATTCATATTCTGGCATGTTAGGAGCCGTAGCAAGCAAGAGCGACTGCACCACTGTTTTTGAGGCAGCGTGAAGGAGAAAGGACCGCCGAACATTGGACTTGTCAGTGGTGCGCAAGGTAAGCCGTTTTGAAACCATGATAATCTTCGGAAATGATGGGCTAAACATTTGGAAAGCCTGTTGAACTCTAGCGATCCAGAAGATCCACTGGATGTTGGCAGTGACCAAAAGTCACTGGACATATTCTCTGATCCCCCGACCACGGATAGACTACATTGTGCCTTGCAGTGTTTAAAAAGCAGCAAAGCTTTCGGTG